GCAAAGCACAGGATGTTAGAGATTCCAATTTCAAACCGACTCTTCTGTTTATTTCACTAATGACTATGGAAAGAGAAGCATGGTATATCATAGCTTGGGATTTAGTTGTCTTCATTTTCTGTTTATGTGTTAAATCAAAATAACACTGCGGTGGTTCCTCTGACTCACATGATCACAAAGGATTAGTGCTGGTTTTCCATGAACACGGACCCCCGGAATGGGAAGAAAGTGGCATGTTCTTTGAGAGTATAGGGCACAGAGGTAATTGCTACCAAAAGGAAAAGAATAAGACCTAGCCCCTCGGCAAGGCTGGGTCTGCTCAGTGCTCGTAGCTTCAGGCAACGGTCAACAAAGATAAGTAGGGAGATCACATCCATAGGTTGGCGTGTGTTTGTGTCCATATGTGTACTGTGTATAACATTTTTTTCAGCATAATTCCCACAATTCACATTAGTCTATTCTATTTTAAAGACTTGGGTCAGAATACACATATACCTAAATTGCTTGTTTAGGAAATACCATCACTGTATGAACAAGAATAATATTGCCCAATAATGCTCCTCCTCATCTATGTGAGTGAGCACATGATTCCTGAGAAGATGGTTTCATCTTACATCAGCAGAGGTTACTAAATGAATTTGGTTAAAAAGGAGGGCAGGAGGGCATGGTTAGTTTTACTGTGGTGCCCCCTAGTGCCAGGTGAGATTAGGTTAATTTCTGTATTGCCAATCTTTAGATCCCATACAAGAAGGAAAATGTGGAGAATCATCAGTGTTCGTAACTGCCCCCTTTGGCATAAAATAGAATACATCAAGTTTCCCAGCATGGTTTCCAAGATCCTTTGCCATCCATGCCTGCCTACATCTTCAGCTTCTACCTCCATCCTCTCCTAACACTCAATGTCAGTCCTGTGGAATGATTTGCTCTTGTATCTACCCTCCCCCACCCCTCCTGCCTGTCTTCCCTCTAACTTCGGTTGAATTGTGTTATCTCTTCCCTCCGTTCCTCTGACTTCCCACACACATTCCCAGACATCTTAGGCAAATCCTCCTCTCCCCCTGCCCCCACCTGTTGGCCCTTGAGCAAGTGTCCGAGTCTCTTGTCTTCCTGCCTCACCTCAAATCTTGACCATTAATCCAAAGAGTTTAAAAGAAAAAGGAAAAACATTCTTCAATGCTGTTTTTTATTATTATTATTATTCTAAAGGTTCAAACAGTGCTCTATACAAAAAAGCACTCAGAACGAATGTAAGGATGCTTTACCTGTATTTCCTAGTACAGGAGTCAAAATTGTCTAGTTAATTAAGTATATAGGTGATCATGAGCAGTTTACCTACCTTCTTTTGGCTTCTATTTTTTTTGTAAAAGACTGTGGCTAATACCTACTAAAAAACCCAAGGTCTTTGGGCCATTTCATTAATACACACCACCAGAGCCTCAAAATTCTTTGAGGACTTAATTCAACACTCCAAATGTCCTTTTTTAATTCTCAAAGAGTTGCTCATAAAAAGCAAATTCTACTTTCATTTGAAGTTATTTTATGTATATGGTTGACTAATTTCTAAGAAAAAGACATGTTAGAGTACATGTAGCCACTTAAATTAAGCTAATTCTAGGCAAAGAGTTAAGGCAAATTCCTCTTTCCGATATTTAACAATACAAAAATAAACTGTTGAAGTTATGATATGAAACATCACCAAGAAACTGAATTCTAATTCTGGCTCTCCTTCACAAAGACCACTTCTGCTTTTCCCAGCAGAACAAGCAACAAGCAGGTGGGATTGGCTAAGGAAAAAGTCTTCAACTCAAAAAAAAAAAAAAAAATCACGATAAAGGTAACGCAGAGCTTGGAAGACTTCAACAGCCCCAGAACATACAAATATAATTTACCAAAGCTCCTCACGGGCTGGAGAGATAGTTCAGATGATAAAGTATTTGCCTAGGAAATAGGAGAACCTAAATTCAATCCTCAGAACTCACATAAAAATGCCAGGCATAAGAGCATGTGCTTGTAATCCTGGTGCTGGGAAGACAATGCCAGGAGGATCCCTGGCTTCCACTCACCGGACAGTCTAGCCTAATTGGTGCACTCCAGACCAATGAGAGATGTTGTTAAAGAGAGTGGGAGGCATTTCTGAGGGTGACATTTGAGTTCCTTCTCTGGCCTCCACATGCAAATTGCCCAAACACATACAACCATGTACACAAACACAAGTACCCACACATAAATATAGACATATGCATACACATAAATATACACAGCCACAGACACCACATTAAGGACAAAAAGCTTCTCACCTCCTAGACCAGCTTCCCTTCTGCCATTGCTTCCTAGCTAAAGTTCCAGGTAAGACTGAAGCCTGGTGCCTTAAATGGCACCCTAGGGTAATGCCCAGTGCCCAGCAGCCGCAGCATTCAGTTTTATAATTCAAGTGACTAATGTTCTAGAGTTTTTGTGTTTTTCCTCAATCTAAAGAAGGTATTTTGTGACTCAGAATAGGTTATTTCAATAACTACAGAGAGCATAAATTACGTATAGAAAGTATATGCAGGAAAAGAGGTTTTCTGCCGAGCTAGTCTTAAGAGCCAAGAAAGCTGTACATTTAGGCACAAAAATATGCTAATGCACCCTTTCAGTTCCTTCCGTCCTCAGGCCTGTTCTTTGAAATGACATGCTCATTAGCTGCTGAGCTGAAAGAGACCTCGATGTCCATCTCTTTCAGCCATCTCCCGTTACCAGTGGGAAAACCAAGAACTCTGTAAGATGTAGGTGAGGGCTGGCTC